CCCCATAGCTGTGGGGAGTAAACATTCAGTTTGGATACCTCTATCCTTATTTCAGGGAATTCACAACATACCTGTGACACAGATCAGCCTGTAGAAAAGGATTGGAATAATGGGGAAACGTGAGAGGGAGTCTTCTTTTTTGAATATTTGTTTCTACTGCAAATGGAAACTGATTTAAGGAAATGTGTATTTTTTAGTTAAAAAAGAATCTTCTCGGGGCACCTGGGAGGCTCAGTGGGTTAAACCTCTATCTTGAGCTCAAGTCATGATCTCAGGGTCCTGGGATTGAGCCCCACATCGGGCTCTCTGCTCAGCAGTGAGCCTGCTTCCCCCTCTCTCTCTACTTACTTGTGACCTCTCTCTCTGTCAAATAAATAAAATTTAAAAAAATTAAAAAAAATTAAAAGAATCTTCTCAATAATAAAGAATCTAAGTAAAAAAAATGCAAGTAATCTGAACAAAGATGACATACAGATGGCAAACACACTTGAGAAAAGATGTTCCGCATCATATGTCAGTAGAGAATTGTAAAATAATACAGCAATGAAATATTGTTACATACCCATGAAAATGGCCAAAATCCAAAAAACAGATGACACCAAAGGCTGTCCAGGACATGGAGTGACAGGAGCCCTCTTTCATTCCTTGGGGGAATGCAGGTTGGTACAGTCATTTTGGAAAAGGGCTTGGCTATTTCTTTAAAAACAAGCATTGTCTAGCCTGAACAATCCATCCACCACTTGGTATTTACCTAAAGGAGTTGAAAAAAAATGTGACCAAAAAAAATCTGCAGAGGGATGTTGACAGTGGCTTTATTCATAACTGTCCAAACCTGGAAGCAGCCAACTGAGATGAATTTCTGGAGGTGATGGAGGAATAAACTGGGGTGTGCCCAAATAATGGAGTATTGATCAGCAGTAAGAAAATCTGAGCCATCAAGCCATGAAAAGATATGGAGAACATCTAGATCCACATTGCTCAGTGAAAGAGCCAACCTGAAATGGCTGGACTCTGTATAACTCCAACAATAAAACATTCTCGGAAAAGAAAAGAAAAGAAAAGAAAAGAAAAGAAAAGAAAAGAAAAGA